AGCTGACCGACAGCACCAGCTGCAGCAGATATAAATACTTTTTCTCCCTTTTTAGGTTTGCAAACTTCATAGAATCCAACATAAGCAGTCATGCCAGGCATGCCTTTCAATATACAAAAGTATCAATATTAGAACAAGGAATGGTATGGGAGCTGGTGTTCCTGTTTTCTAAAGGTTTTATAGGTACTAAAGATCTATAGCAGCATATTAAGAAGAATTAAAGATTCCCAAACTTTAAGATCCAATCATCTTATAATGATGTCAATCAGGTTTCTCATGCACAAATGCAAACTGGGGGAGAAGAGAGGTGAAGAAATTAGGAAGGAAAGATAAGCAGTCTAGGAAATGCAAATTGTGAAAGACACATCTTCAGATTCATCAAGGTGCTCCTACTATTTCCGTTTAGAAGCCAAGTTTTCATGTCTTTCTTTCCTTTCGCATCTTTTGGCCCAACAAAACATTTTTATCTAATAAATGGTTTTGCATCAGTGAATTTGTAATCTACTGTTTGTAGTCACAGATCCTCAATGTCTAAGTAAACTCGACGAAAACTACGAGCTGAACCACACTGGTGAAATGCTTTTCTGACAAAAGTTTTTCTAAGGTTTCATTTCATTAATGAACAAAAGTTTGGTAAACTCTTTCTCCTTCCCTAAGTTAGCCACAGAATATGCTTGAAATGTCAGGTATCAGGACATTACATCCGAATTCCAAATGAATAACATGAAACAAATATATATTGTGAAACTTAAGCAAACTGCAACTTTGTCTGCACTCAGAAGCCTGCACAGGCATACTCCCCTAAGAAGTGAGAACACATAAATGCAGTTCCAGTTCTCACAGTTATAAAAGGGATCAAATTTGTTGGACAATTATCAGCTACAGCATCTCCATATAACAGGAAATAAGAGTGGAAATTACCTAGTAATCCAGTGTAATGGGAAAGAGGAATGTCTGTGTGCTCAATCTTGAAAAGAGAATCAGGTTCTGCTATGAGACTGTACTCCTCCCATCCTGTTATACCCCATACCAAGTCACCCTTATTGAATTTTGGGTGCGTTGAATCCAGTACCTTAGATACCGCATACCCATTTATTGGCTGCATGTTATCACCACTATGGTTAATAGATGCAAAATTTAACTTGTGATTTACATCACTTACCATAAGCATAGAACAAAAACACATTTGCATCACTTCTTTTAACATTACAGCAAGGCATTGCATTCGAATAGGATCTTCTTGTGATTATAACAAATTCCAGCAAACATGAGAATGTTCCAAATTGTTTCTGTGCACAAACTGGTGTTCAAAAACATTCATGAACTTGATTTTGTCTTTGTTTTTCAGGTATTAGATACATGAATCCAGAAACGAAGAAGTGCACCTCAACCACCAAAGAGAATGACACCAAGGTATCGGAAGGTGAACCTTTTCAAATTCATGAAAGATGTAAGTCATATTAGAGGCTCCCCTGTTCCTAATTAACTTGAGGGAGATCATCAGATGTCACTCTCTTTTTACTTTCTAAACAGTCCCTTCTAACAAGTCAATTTTCCCTTCACCAGAAATGACCATAACAAGTTGACACGAAAACTAATCACTACACATAATGTCATGCCCCGCATCCACGAGCTATTAATACTTTGGTTTAATCATTTGTGACTGTCTGTTATGTCCAAAATTTATCAACCTAAACAAATGTGCCCCTCAGTATTAATACACACACCTTTAAGTTAAAAAGTCTAAACCCCAATGGCCAATTCATGCTATGATAACATGTACTTAAAATAGAACAGGAAATAAAAGCGAGAGGAAGCCAGAATTGTAGGCTTACAGATCCAGGAGTGTAATGAGAGAATCCATCCTCGAAAGTAGAATTTGCAGGCTTTGGCATGAGAAGGCTCATGTAAGGATCGCAAGACAAGTAGAGATTCTTAAGCAACACCCCATTATCTGAGCTTTCAGGAACTTCCAAGCTTGTCTTCTTGTCAGTGGCGATGATAAAATCGGACTCTTTTGGGGAACCACTCACATAGTCTTTCAATAACACCTGCTTGTTCTTCACCATCTCTAATTTTTCGAGAAATTTCTAAGTTTGTGATGAATTTTAAAAAAATTCTACAAAAGGGGTGACTGTGGCGAGGAATTCTGTCGGAGGGGTCTTCGCATTCGTGAAATGCGAGCTCTCCTGAGCTCGCATTTCACGAATGCGAGCTCTGTTGAGAGCTCGCATTCCTGGAATGCGAGCTCTCAATTGCTCGCATTACAGAGATGCAAATTTTTTTGCTTTTTTTTTTTTGGAGGCAGAGATTTATATTTTTGAATTAAAACAAAAAAGGATTTTGACAATCAGTGATTCCGGAAATGGGCTGTACCATCCTGTCAGTAGGTTCCTTGTTTCTTATGACAAAATTCAAGCCTGAACTGGATGTCGGAGACGCCCAACGTATTAATAGTTCATTTCCTGTTGAGATGTTCCATGAAGCTTGCCACTCCTCAGGTGGTTCTTGAGGTGTTGCAGTGCCTACAACTTTCTCTGCACTAGATGACAATTGCATGTAAAATAAGCACGGAGGTTGAGAAGGAAACAGCATAACTGAAGAATCAAAACAGGTGGAAGCAGTGAGAAAGAGCTACATTAAAGCACATACCAGGGGCTTTGCCGATCGAACTAGAAACGTAGGACCAAGAACCTTCACGAATCTCTATGATCCTGTCCTCCCATTTAACAGCTGAAGGTGTTTTGCCTCCTCTCCTCCAAAATCCTCCTCCCATCCTGGATCATTCTTAATCATTTGAAACTCAGCATACTGAATAAAGCAGACACAAATCACTGAGCTCGCATTTCCGGAATGCGAGCTCAGTGAGCTCGCATTTCCGGAATGCGAGCTCAGTGAGCTCGCATTCTCAAAATGCGAAGACCCCCATTTACAGAAGCCCCTCCAGGAAACGCCCTCGTTGTAGAATTTTTTTTTTTTTTTCATCATAAACTAAGAATTCACCCTAATTTTTCTGCCATTTTCCCACTATTACTATGGTCAGGAGCACAAATATTCTTGAGCTGTGGTCTCTTACAACCTCTGAAAAATAGTTTTGTGATTGTATGGAGCAGAAATTTGCTGGCTCATATAGGAGAGAACCAGAAAAGGTTATGATGTGTTGCATGACGTCAATGAAATCCACAAATGGGCAGAAGTTGTTTTCACCGGTCAAACTTCCAAGTCTCAACTTTTTAAAAATTTGATCAATGACCAACCGTATGCATGAATAAACCTTTGAGTATTTTAAGAAGACTGTGTCCAAATCATAGCCCTTAATTTTTCCTTATATGTATTGGGACCATGGTCGCGTTACGGTCTCGGCTGTTCCACGTCCATTACGACATATCGATTGAATATCGAATGATATGTATGTTATAACACATGAAAGTTTTTAAAAAATCTGAAAAAATTACTAAAATTAGAAAATACCAAAAAAGACATAATTTGAAAAAATATATCCAAATCGATTCCGAGTTGACTTAGATATAGAGACCGTACCATGCATCACAGATTCAAATTGGCCAATATTAGTTGAGTCAGAGCGAGCCGCCGTAGATATTATCATATTCGCGATTCGGAAATCGGCATCGTACCAATCCCCTCTATTTCGGTTACGACTCGGCCGATACGTATTGGTATCGGCCAATATTGTTAACCATGATTGGTACGGCCTACTATGATAAAACTCGTGATGCTGTTTGTTTATTTATTTGAATAGATAAAATGTCATTACTGCTGTCATTGATTAAAGAGTTGTTGCCATGGCTGATAGCTTGATGCATTTTGTCACCAAATGCAATTTCTAGTAACAAATACACTAAGGGCGTGAGACTTTTTCTCAGTATATCTGAAGATACAATTTCAACCTTCTATCTTCTTCTTTATTACAATGTAAACAGTAATGAAGTTTTCTTTAAGGGAAAATTACATTTTACCCCCCTATAGTTTAGTATTTTTATATATAACCGCCCTATAATTTCAAAAACTATACACAACTCCTTTATGGTTTGGATTAAAGTGTCAAAGTGACGGAAATGATCAAATCGTTACGAAATCTTTAAAAATATTGAAATTATCCTTGTTTAAAAATTAAAATGGTTGAAGTGACCAAACTATATAAATCTAATATATATGACACACTAACCCCGTATGGATTTATATTTTATCATATAATCCCCTTATAATTTAATGCTTTACCATATAACCCCTTATGATTTTCAAAATATACATATAACTCTTCTGTGGTTAATAAATAATTTTCAACTTTATATAAAGGTATTTTTGACATTTTAGATAACTCCGTTAATAAATTGCAAATTCTGTTACTTTGACACTTTAATCCAAACTATGAGGGAATCATGTATAACTTTTGAAATCATAGGAGAGTTATGTACAAAAACACTAAATCATAGGGAAATAAAGTGTAATTTACCCTTTCTTTAATGCAAAGAGTTGTCAATTGGAATCTACCTCCCCCAGTATTAATTAGGAGAAAGGCAATCTCTAGGAAAACAAATCATTATATCTTTGACCCGATGATGAACAGTATAATAAACGAAGCACCAAATTAGCCATTGCATGCTCAAACATGTATGTGTTGTGATACATTTAGCCAAGATTGACCAAAAAAAATTATACGATCCAAATTTTATCTTGTACCTTTGTTTTTAATAACATGTGTGGGATTCACAAAATTTTATTCTAAAATTATACATTATTAAAAGTAAGTTATACCATATACAAACAGAGTTACGCCGTGTGCAAAATACACATAACCTTCAGGAATGGTTGCACCTGCAACCGTTACTGCCTCTGGTCCTTTGACTTGAAATCCAGTCATTGTTGCTTGGATATGCAGTGACCTATATTGCTTTAAAGTTGTTGAAAAAAAAAAAAGAAAAGAAGGCGGCTTATGATGGTTACTAGCCAAAATCTTTTACCCTAAAGGATTGCAGAAATCATTCATGGGCAACTGCAACTAGTTGTTTCCCAACATTGCGACCGTTAAAGAGACCTATAAGGGCTGCAGGGCCATTTTCAAGCCCTTCAACAATGTCTTCCACATAGGTTATCTTCTGCTTTCGGATGTCAGGCAGTACAAAGTCCAAAAACCTCGAGTGAAGGTGTAAGTACTCGAAAACAGTAAATCCTTCCATCCGGACGCGTTTGTATAGATGCCAGGCTATATTGCTTACACTTTCAGGTTGTTCAAGATTGTATTGTGAGATCATTCCACAAACAGCAATTCGACCGTGCTTTCTCATGTTTAGAAGTACTGCATCCAGCATTCTTCCTCCAACATTCTCGAAGTAGATGTCAATCCCATCAGGGAAGTACCTGAGTAAACAAATTGCTATTATCTTTAATGGCACTCAGCAGTCCTAGAAAAGATGAACCATGAAATATAAAACCAAAATGTGAGAGAAGAACCCTCACTAGGAAAAGGATACAAGATATGCTTTTAAAATTCCAATGAATAAACAAGAGACTGTATCCAAAAAGGGCCGGCTGTGTCCACTTGTTCTCATTCTGTTCCCTTTCTGATAACAGCCGATCAGAAAATGATGTTTTTGTTATTGCAATCATTATGCATTGCCAACCGCAGCATGCAGCATTCAAGTTATTATCTACCCTTCTCTCTGTTTTTTCACAAGAACTCGGCGAAGACATCAATTCCGTAAGCACTTCGATATACGATGAAGCTTCATTGACACAACTAGGTTAGAAGTTAATCCCAAGATGAATAAGCACCTTTTCAAAGCAGCATCCAAGTCGTGCTCCTCCTTATAATTGAAAGCATCATCAAATCCAAACTTGTTCTTCAGAAGGTCAACCTTGACAAATTGGATCAGTGATGCAAACAAGAATTAGTTGATCAGGTTAAACGAGCTAATAAAGGTCACAAACATACGTCTGAACCCTGAAGTGCAGCAGATCAGATAAGCCTGCCAGTGATTGTCCGAAAGTGCTCAAACAGAGTTGTGAGGTTCATGTTCATTTTACTTCCATATATAATATTCCGTTGAATATTTGAGGCCATTTACCTTTTCTTTGCTTCCAGCACTTCCAACAACATAACATCCCATAGATTTTGCATATTGTCCCACAAGCTGACCAACTGCACCAGATGCTGCCGATACATATACTCTTTCTCCTTTCTTGGGATTGGAGACTTCATAGAATCCAACATAGGCTGTAAGACCAGGCATCCCTTCATAAGAAGAAGAAACTAGGTTTTGAATGCCATATATTGTGAAAATTTACTGCAGCTAGGTTCATCAAGATTCCCAAAAGTCTAGAGTGATCTTGAAATCTTTCTTTTAAACACAAAGTTAAGTGCAATCAAGATTTTAATATATATATATATATATATATATATATATATATATATATATTTATGTTGTCCCAATGTGCATCGAGATTTGAGCTAATTCATTCACCAACTCAAAAATAAAATAAAATAAAATAAATGAAGTACTAGGAACTCTACAGGGTTTTTTCCCCCTCTGTTACTTCTAAATCCTTGAATTTCTCGACAAGGCCTGTAAAAGTACATTCTTTCTCCTTAACAGGATCAAATTGGCAAACATGCTGACACAACAAAAAGCACCTGCTATAAAATCAACACCACTTACAGAGCCAGGCTTGCAAGGAGGGATGGAAGTTCTCCTAGGAGACTCGGGCTTTCTCATTAGACCATGCATGGTAGGATCGCATGACAAGTAGAGATTCCTGAGCAAAATCCCATTTGAGTTTTCTGGGATTTTCAAGCGTATTATGTTGCAAGTGCTGATAATCATGTCTGATTCTTTTGGGAAACCATTTAAGTAGTCTCTAAGCAGCACCTGCTTGTTCTTCACCGTCTCTGCCTTTTCTTCTGCCATCGCAGAAGTTCAGTGGTGCTCAATACAATAGTGTCTTTTTTCCACTTTTTTGTCGCTCTGAAAACTAGCAACTATTGGGAAGCTTTGCTTCTTCAAATATGTTTCTGGGATTGGAATAGTCAAATAAGTCTTGAGCTTTCTATAATCTATATCAATCATTGTACAATTACAAGGGAGCATCGTTTGATCGTCACAGCTGACTTCATTATCTAAGATTAACATCTGGAAAGTAAATAGTAAAAGCATCACTTTTCACATGCCACTCAGTCAATGTTCAGCATGGGAATTTTAGTTCATCTTTTCTTGATTTTAGTCAAAATCAAATCATTAATTGGTTCTTGCAAATCCAACTTAAAGAGGCTAAGCCCCACAGATAGTTTAGTGGTAAGCGAACTCTTTGGACTTTTTTGGTCCTAAGTTTGAATCTAACCTTGGATTTGAACCCTCGTGACTTATGTTGGGGTGCGTCATGTAGGACCGTGGCGTATCTCGTGATTTGATGTGTCAGCTAGGTCCAAAGTGATTTGAATCAGGGCATGTTGAGAGTCACAAAAAAAAGAAAAAATTAGGAGGCCGAGACTTGACAGCAGCCAAATTACCTCGTATCCATGAATTTATCCACAATCATGGAAAGATTCAGAGACTGTAAACCATACCACTTAGACATTAGGGAAGGGCGCCTTTCTGGATAAGCTTCACTACTATTTACAACGACTGGTAAGGTACCATTAACTAAAATTTGTTTTAGGGTAAATTACATATTACCTCCCATGGTTTTGCATAATGCTAGATAACCTCCTATGGTTTCAAAATAGCCATGTAACCTCCCATTGTTTTATGTAAAGTGAAAAATGGTCAGAGTGCATAATCAGTTATAACGATTAAACCACAAACTCTCTAAAAGTACATGTGATGAAATAATAATATCCACTTAAATCTTTTACTCCCTTCGTCCCACTTTGATAGTTCCATTTCTTTTTTCACACAGTTTAAGAAAAAGTAGTTAACTTTGTTGGAAAAGTAAATTTAGATTGCTATTTTCCTAAAATACCCTCACATTAAATATGGTACAACTTTATGAGAACTTGAATTGATGGTAAAAAAAGAATCAACTCTCATTAAATGGAGTAGGTTTATAGTAACAACAACTTACATTGAATAAGGATATTTTAGGAAAATTAAAATATAACTACATTGTTCAATTGAAAAGTGGACTACAATTTGGAACAGACGAAAAAGGAAAACGAGGCTATCAAAGTGGGACGGAGATAGTATAATTTGCATAAATATCCGCATTAGCCTTTGTGGGTTTTGCATTTATCCACGTAATTTCTCTATGATTTTGTACAAAGTGGCTGCGTCGTTGTTTGATTTAACATTTAAGTAAGGGCGGTGAAATCATAATATTTTAACTAATGACATTACATAAACTATTTTTTGTTAAATTTTCAGTTTACATGAAATCATAGGGGGGTGAAATCGATATTTTAGAACGTTCGGAAGTTATATGACAATAGATGAAACTACAAGAGGGTTATTAGTGATTTACTCTTTGTTTAATGATGCATGCCAGTTTTACACCGGAAAGTCTGACCAAGAAGCAATTCAAGAGTTTTCCAGCTTGTGAATCTCTAAGAAAAAGAGACGACTGCACAGGTCGTAAAAGTACTTATTCAGTATAACCAGATACGAATACAAAATTTTACAAGTAGCCCATCTGAATTCTAGAATAGAACCCTCAGAATCCGGGCAATATAGCCTGAGCAGAGTTTATTACTACTACAATTAGAACTAATAAGTGAGGGGAAAACATGGAACAGGGGCTGGAATGGTTCCAGAATGGAACTGCAGGTCATTCACGAGCAACAACAACTAGCTGTTTCCCAACACTGCGGCCATTGAAGAAATCTATAAGGGCTTTAGGACCATTTTCAAGACCTTCAATAATGTCTTCAACATAGGTTATCTTTTTCTCGCGGACGTGAGGCAATATAGTGTCCAAAAACTTTGAGTATTGATGGTAAAAATCAAACACAGAAAATCCTTTTATGTATACTCGCTTGTAAATAATCCACATCATATTGGATACTCCTTCAGGTTTGTCAGAGTAGTACTGTGAGATCATTCCACAAGCAGCAATTCGACCATTCATTCTCATGTTGAGGAGCACAGCATCTAGCATCTTTCCTCCAACATTTTCAAAATAGATATCAATCCCTTCAGGGAAGCACCTAAAAGAGAGAAAAGATACTAAATCCTTAATAAGTTGAATCATTGATGTAGCCTGGTCCAAATCAAGCTTCATTCAGAGGTTTAGCCAGATTAGATGGACTCAGTTGAGGCCAAACTGAATAGATACCTTTTCAGAGCAGCATCCAAGTCGTGTTCTTGCTTGTAATCGAAAGCATCATCAAATCCAAACTTGTTCTTGAGAAGATCAACCTTTTCAAATTTTTAAAAATGTATGTGCAAGGTTAGAATGCTTCCAGAAGTAATATAGTTCTTTGGGGAAGAGATCAATTGTAAAGAGCCAAAAGAGACGTTAATATTATCAGTATCAGGCAAACCAAGGGAGGCAATTCACCTTTTCTTTGCTTCCAGCACTTCCAACAACATAGCAACCTAACAATTTTGCAAATTGTCCAACGATCAGACCAACTGCCCCGGATGCTGAAGATACGAAAACCTTTTCTCCTTTTTCTGGTTTGCAAACCTCAAAGAATCCAGCATAGGCAGTAAGACCAGGCATACCTTTATAATTTTTTCGAAAGGCATTAGATTCAGTCCAAAATGAACTAAAGCAATTGCAGCAGCAGCTATAGAAATATGCACATTGCCGAAAAGATTTTTTAAGTATGGTACTTACCGAGCAGTCCAATATAGTAGGAAAGAGGTACATCAGTATGCTCAATCTTGAAAAGAGAGTCAGGTTCTGCTATGGGACTGTATTCTTCCCATTGTGTTATACCCCATACCAGATCACCTTTCTTGAAGTTTGGATGCCCTGAATCCACTACTTTGGCAACCCCAAACCCATTTATTGGCTGCACGTTATAGCAATATGATCAATCAATGCAAAATTAAATCTCCAGATATGCCACTCATGTCATCACAACTCATAACTAGCATGATAAGCAAAGATTAAGCACTTGTGTTCATATTTCATGCCCCTCAAACCATTCACATTGACAAGACATTTCTTTCAAAATAAGCACAGAAAAATTGGAAAGGAGAAAGGAAATATTTTCAAGAAACAGTACATACTGAGCCAGGGGTGTAAGGAATAAAGCCAGTTTTACTACGAGCAGGCTGAGACACTTGCATGAAACGGCGCATAAACGGGTCACTTGACAGGTACAGATTCTTAACCAGCACTCCATTTGATCCTTCTGCCACTTTCAAGCTTATAGTGCTGTCGGTGCTGATGATCATATCTGATTCTTTGGGGAAATCACTAACATAATCTCTCAGCAGCACCTGCTTGTTCTTCACTATCTCAACTTCTGCCATTGCTCAATTATTACTCTGCTACTGCTCAATATTTTGGTTAATGTGTTTCTTGCAAAGCTTTGCCTCCTTTATATACAGTATTTCAAAAGGAAGAGATATTGGGTGAGGCTAATCTTTTTGGAGGCAAGGCAAAAGCAAAATTCAATTGATGGCAGGTCCTTGCAAGAAAAATTAGTTTAACTAGTCAAATAAGAATAGTCCAAGATGACATTAACATCATGCATGACAAAAAAAAAAAAAGTAGCACAAATCATAAGTTAACAACTTGAAAAGAAAAAAAAAAACAAATGTGTTTGTCTTCATCAAATCAACGTCATTTATGCCATCATCTTCATCCAACGCATCTATACTAGGCAATCTTGCTTTAGTAATCATAGGTTTTGATATTCTCCACTGCTTGCTCATCTTTCTTTAACAGTGTAATCATAGTTGGCAATCCATGTAACCGATCTAGATTCTCTACAATCACAATAGTGGGATTGCAGAGAACAGCTCATGGTGGAAGACGGATAATTTTGAATTTGGATGGCTAGGATTAAATGCTGGACGCGATAAATAATAAAATTTGATGTTTTATTACATATTTACATGTTGCGTTAGTGTTTGTGATTTTAGTAAAGGGAAAATCATTTAAAGGATTTTATCAAATGAATTTTTTCATCCTTTATTTTAAAATGGCAACTTTACATCCCTTATAAAATCAAGTCGATAAAATTTAGTTTTAACCTAAGTTTTTTTATCACTTTTTACCCTGAATCAACACATGGGGTCTTTTTTGAAGCAAAAACGTTAGATCTCATTTGTAGTTAAACAGAAAATGATCCGATCAATATTTATTTTTTTCCCCAAAAGAAGTAGAATTTGATCTAAACCATACTAATTTTTTTTCCCTAAAAAAGTGAGATCTGATACATTTTATATTCATTTCTGTTACTAAAAGGTTGGGAGCCGACCTTTTTGTATATAAAAAATAATTGCATATGGGTCACGTGGTGATTTCAGACCAAAAAGTAATTGAAAATTTAGATTGCGACTAAATTTTACTAACTTGAATTTATAAAGAACATAAAATTAACATTTTAAATAAAAAGATGAAAAAATTCGTTTCGCAAAATATGAGAGATGATTTGAATGATTTTCTCTTTTATAAATTTGCTGTATCAATATCTATATTGCAATTGGTCCTAAATCCCTTGGTACTTGAGCAACTAGTCAAACAGGTTCCTTCCAAATAGACTTGTCGTCTCAATGCAACATATATACTGTTGGAAACTTTTCAAAATTTGTATGATGTACATACATGAAATTAATGTGTATTCATTGATTTTTGGTACATGTATAGTATTGTGAATGTTTCTAAAATGTACATTCATTTATGAATGTATTCATGTATATGGGAATTATTGAATGAAAGGATAGATTCATGTTTTGATCTAATGATCATGAGATGCATGAATTAAAGTGCATGAATGTGTACACAATACTTTGAA